TATAAAATAAAGCATTGGCTTGCAGGCTGGGTCTTTTGTGTCCTCATCCAGGCACAGGAGATCCACCGAGCCCCAGCTGTATTCTCTTGTCTGTCTTTTCTTCAGTACTTCACTGCCCCTCCTCAGGTTCACCCTGGGCCATGCTGGAGCGGCACAAGAAATCCCTCCTGTGGTAGTCAAGAACTGGACTGGGTATTCCAATCTCCAATGTTCAAAACTCTGCTCTTAAATTTCTAACTATGTGACCGTGGGCAAATTAACCTCTCTAGGCCCCAGTTTCCTCATTTATCCAATGAGGATAATACCAACTTTTACATAGATCTATTATGAGGATTAAATTAGTTAATTCATAAAAAGCATTTAGAAGAGGATCTGGCACATAGCACTTCATAAATGTGAATTCCCACCTGCTGGGTCACTAATTTCTCTCTCTCTCTCTCTCTCTCTCTCTCTCTCTCTCTCTCTCTCTCTCTCCAGATTTCAGGCTCAACACTTTTGGCCTAAGATTAAAACTGTCCTCTTTCTCATTAGATTAAGCAACTAAATTGCTTTGAAAACCTCCAAGTTTTCTTTTCTCATTGTTGGACCATTTTACTCCTTCTCTGTCTGAACACCTTTTTTATTGGTTCTGTATAGTAAGTTTTCCATTTATACATTGAAAGCTTTTGTTGTGTGATTACTAGGATATGAGTTCCTTGAGGACAGGGACTGTCTCAATTTTCTCTATTACTCCAGTCCCTTTCTTCCTCCCTGCTGCAAAAGAAAAGGTTTTGTGGTTTTTTTTTAAACAAATGAATTCATTTCTTTAGCTTTTGTATTTTTTGCTCATTTTATGCTGGGTATTCTAATCTGCGCTTCCAGTTTTCCTGAAAATTCTCTTTCCCCAATTATCTCTGGACATTTTAACTTCAGCTGGTGATGCTGAGATCTCATTGATGTTTCTCTCTGTCTACCTGTCCCTTCCTCTCACTCTCTCTAAAATAAATAAAAACATATTTAAACAAATATTTATCAAGGTGTAACATGTCTGGGGATAAAAATTCAATAATTACAATTCACCTCATCTGTATATAAATAAACTTTAATGAGATTATGTGAATAACTTTTTCTAGCTCTTCTGTTTTTTCCCAACCTTTATTTAAGAAATCCTCCTTGTCTGGCCAGGTAGGATCATACTTTTTTGGCAGGTGGGAAGTTCAGTTTACCACATACTCTGTTCATATGTTAGAAAAAAAATCCCATTTAATTCACCTGAATTTAATTTTGCTTATATTCTCTTGATTTCAGATAAACTATTATTCTTTTTAAAATCTATCAGCTTTGAGAGGGGTTCTATCTTGAAGAACTGTTTCATTCTTTATTTGGAGATAGAGCCATACTACCCTCACTTTCTTTACATGCAGAATAAAAAGCAGCTCTTCTCACTTGGAAGAAAGGAGAATGAATTATGCCAATACTTCTAAATTTTATTTTTAATATATATAAAAGATATATGTAACACATAAGATTAATAGTATAATGAAATACCCAACTTGAGTGCTAGAATATTTCTCAGTAACTTGTATCTACTTTTGTGTTCCTCCTCTATCTCTTCCTCTGCCCTCAGAGGTTACCAGTATTTTACATTTTGTCCTTCTCATTCCATTGATGTTTCCTTTTTTAAAGTTTAGGTTTATGACAAATGTATATATGCTAATATGTTGTTTAATTTGTGTATTTTTGAGATTTATAAAAATGCTATCATCCAATATATAGTTTTTTGGGATTTTTCCCTGTTAGCACTATGTTTCTAAATTCATTCATGTTGTTGTATAGAATGGTTGTCCATATTGTTTTTTTAAAAATATTTTTTCATCAATTTCAGAGAGGAAGGGAAAGGGAGAGAGAGATAGAAACATCAATGATGAGCTGCCTCCTGCCTCCCCCGGGAGTGGCGCCTGCAACCCAGGCAAGTGCCCTGACCTGGAATCATAGGTTGATGCAAAACCACTTAGCCACACCAGCCAAGCAGATTGTTCATTTTCAATACTATAACATTCCATTGTGTGAAGATACAATTGATTCTCCTGCTGGTACAAGTTGGGTTGTTTCTAGCCTTACAAAAATTTATAAACATTGATGCATTAAAAATTATTATGCATGCCTCCTGGTCACATATGCAAGTGTTTCTTTTGTTATATACCGAGAAGTAGGGGTGCTGGTTTATGGAGTTTGTAAATATTTAACTGTGAGATAACGAATGCGAAATTGTTTCTCACTTTCCCACAGTTTATAAAAATTCTACTTATTCCTCAGTATTTGGTATTTTTACACTTAATTTTTGCTAGTTTACTGGGGGTAAAATGGTATATACTTATTTCTTTTTTATAGAATGAAAATCATTCTTACCTAAAGCTTTTTAAAACTTCCTCTTCCTTTTGATATTAAGAGTTTGCAGCCTGCCCTGGCCAGTTTTCTCAGTGGTTAGAATGTTGGCCTGCAGACCAAAGGGTCTTGGGTTGGATTCTTGATCAAGGGCACAAACCTGGGTTGCAGGTTTCCCAGTCTGGTCGGGCGCACACAGGAGGCAATCAATCGCTGAGTTTCTCTCTTTCTGTCTCTCTTGTCTCCCCCCTCCTCCACCCCTCCCCCTTCCCTCCTACTCTCTCTAAAAGTCAATGGAAAAATATCTCCAGGTGAGGATAAAAAATAAGCCCTGGCCAGTTTGGCTCAGTGGATAGAGCAGTGATGGTGAACCTTTTGAGCTCGGCGTGTCAGCATTTTGAAAAACCCTAACTTAACTCTGGTGCTGTGTCACATATAGAAATTTTTTGATATTTGCAACCATAGTAAACAAAGATTTATATTTTTGATATTTATTTTATATATTTAAATGCCATTTACCAAAGAAAAATCAACCAAAAAATGAGTTCACATGTCACCTCTGACATGTGTATTATAGGTTCGCCATCACTGGGATAGAGTGTTGGCCCATAGACTGAAGGATCATAGATTTGATTCCAGTCAAGGGCATGTACCTCAGTTGTGGGCTCAATCCCTGGGCCTGGTCGGGGCATGTGCAGAAGGCAATCAGTTGATTGCGGCAAGGCCGGGCCCATGCCTGCCTGCCTCCGGAGACCCTCAATCCCCTTAGTCCCCCAGCTGCCCAGGGCCGGCCGAGGCGCAGCAAGCCTCAGATGGCAGCTGCCCAGCTGCCCGTTGTTTCTCTCACTCCCACTCCCTTCCATGTTCTCTCTAAAAATCAATGGGGAAAAATAACCTTAACTGAGGATTAACAAAAAATAAAAACTAAATAAATACACCCAGTCTTAAATAAAAAAAAAAAAGAGTTTGCAGCCTGAACTGACATTACTATGCTTGGGATTCTGTTGAGAGAAAGCCATTTATTTGTGAGATAGTTTCTGCTAAAGGTATAAAAGCTGAGAGAGGGTGGAGGCTGCTAACTAGGTTATTTGAATGTTGCTTTTAAGTTGATCTTACATAAATACCAAATTATACACAGTCTAAAATTTCTTGTTACTACTTTACAGAAATGGAAATGTGTTCAATTATATTCTTTGTTATTGACCCATCACAAATTAATCTGTCTTGAGTTTATACCTATCTGTAAAACTATCTATAATAATAAAAGCAATAATATGCTAATTAAACTGGATGTCCTTCTGGATATCCTTCTGGACAACCTTTTGGATGAAGCCAGGGCTGTGAGGGATGCCCGGGTCCTGGGTGCCTGCTGGCAGCTGGAGGGAAGCCCAGGTCCCGGGTGCCAGAAGGAAGCTGGTGCTGGCAGCCGGGCGAAGGAAGGCTTAATCTTGCATGAATTTCGTGCATCGTGCCTCTAGTCAATGCACAGGCATGGAAACATGAAACAGACTGATGAATCTCAGAGGGAAGGGGGTGGGGGTAGGGCGGGAAGAGATTAACCAAAGATTTTATATGCATACTAGAGGGCTGGTGTAGGGATTTGTGCACTGGTGGGGTCCCTTGGCCTGGCCTGCAGGGATCAGGCCAAAACCAGCTTGGTGCACTCATTTGTGTACCTGTGTGGTCCCTCAGCCTGGCCTGTGGGGATCGGGCTGAAACCGGCAGGCCAAGGGACCCCACCAGTGCATGAATCGGTGCACTGGTCCTCTAGTTTTAAATAAAAAGCTCCTTCAATCTGTTAATCTGGAATATTTCTATTGAACCAAGCTTAGTAAAAGCTATCTTTATATAATTCCTTGTATTTTAATTGTACCAAAGAGATTCAACTTACCGTCTTTTAACATGGTTATACCATCTAACACAAATTAGTCTCTGAAAGAAATTTCAGAACTCCAAATGTTCATCTTACTAGTTATCCACTGAATTGACACACACATTAACCAGGAAAATAAGCCCAAACAGATGGGATAGCTACATTGTGCCCTAAAACATGTGGGTGTTTTTTTTTTATTGAAAAAGCCATCTTGTATATAACAGTTTTCATCAATAACTAAAAACACATAGAGATGGAAAAAGAGAATCCAAGATAAATGGCAATATATGTATATTTTGAAGAAAAACTTTTAAGGATCTTGTGTTTATTGTCTTTAAAAACAAATATGTGTGTCATTTATCTAGTTTTTCTTGATTTTGAATGAAAGGTTTTTGAAGGAAGGGGCTGTGTGTTTGCTTTACGTTTCCTTATTATATTGTTAAGTATAGTTTCATATCCCAAAGGGGAACTCAGAAAATATGAATTGAGTGTAAAAGTCCCTTATTTATCATCAACATATGTTGACTGACAAAATGATTGAGTGAATATTTATGACCAAACCATAAGAAAGCTGCAGTTTACTTGCTTTTCTATGGTCTATAGCTATTGTTGGAATTCAGGATGAATACATTTATTCCAGGTAAGTGTTTTTCAGCTTTACTTATATAGCTAAAACTGTGTTTAGTAAAGTTGTTATCAGTGTTTGGTTTCTTTCTCTGTTCTCTTTTCAAGCCAGCTGTTAATCCTCATTTCTTCATTCCAGATATTCACCACTATATGATCAAGGAGCTGCTGAAGAGACTCTGACTCCTGGATAGCTTCCTCCAAGTGGGGGCTTTTTCTTCCTATCATGCAGAGTAAGTGAGCTTTTTTGTTGTTTGTAAGTGGTAATCTATAAAATGGGGCAAACTTAGAGGTTAAGCCTTTACTTCTCACATGGATTGCAACATGACAACATTCTCACTGTAGTAGGCAGCCACCATGAAGGCCCTCAGTGATTCCTGACTTCTGGTATTTACACACTATTATAGTCCTCTCCCACGTTGTATGAGGATTGGTCTGTTTGACCAATAGAATATGGCAGATGTAGTGGTATGTCACTTGCAAGATTAGATTATGAAAGACTACAAGGATACAGGGACCACAGGGAAAATTGGAACCTCAACTAGTTCTAAAGGGAATTGTTTCTGAGGTTGGGAAGTGCTAACCCAAATTCCATGCCAAGAAGATCCAGGTCTTTCTTGGATCTAGAAGCAGTGAGAGAAAAACCTAGAGATATAAATAGAAATAAGTGGGAATTTCACAAAAAGCTATTGGACAAAAAGAGACCACCTAATGAAAAGAAATGAAATACTGATACATGCTCTAACATGGTTGAATCTTAAAAACATGCTAAGTGAAAGAAGCCAGTCACAAAGACCAGATATTATATAATTTTATATGTAATGAAGGGGTGGTGGTGAGGTGGGGGTTTGGGATGTCATGGCTTAGTTCAGGATTACTTCAGAAATAATAAAAATGTTCTAAGACTGATTGTGGTGATGGTTGCAAAACTCAGTAAATAAAGCCATTGAATTGTACACTTTGAATGAGGAAACTGTATAGTTTATAAATTATATATCAATAAGGCTGTTTAAAAAAAGACTGTGTCTTCCTTCTTGGACTTTCTCTCTCTTCTATAACTTGTTCTAAAGGAAGTCAGCTGCCTTGTCTTGAGGACACTCAGACAACCTAACTATGGAAAAACATACGTTGCGAGGAACTGAGGTTTCCAGCTAACAGTCAAAGAAGAACTGAAGCCTGCCAAATAACCTTTCCAATGATCTTTGCTAATCCTATAGGTGGAAAATGGTGTCTTATTGAAGGTTTAACTTTCCTATTATTAGTCATATTAGGCATAATTAATATGTTTAAAGGCATTTGTAATAGAGCAAGAAATAAAAACACGAACACCATATTCAATGGTGTGAGGAAACATCTTTAATCCCAAGGCATCAAATATGAAAGTTAAAAGTGGATGGAGATGCCCTAGCTGATTTGGCTCAGTGGATAGAGCATCGGCCTGCAGGACGAAGGGTCCTGGGTTCGATTCTGGTCAAGGGCATATACCTCGGTTGCAGGCTCCTCCTTGGCCTGGGCCCCGGTCAGGGCCCATGTGAGAGAAATCATTGTGTTTCTCTCACATCAGTATTTCTCTCTGTCTTTTCCTCTTCCACTCTCTCTAAAAATCAATGGAAAAATAGCCTCAGGTAAGAGGCTAAAAAAAAGTAATGGAGAGATGACAAATGACTTAGGTTAGAGAAAGGCAAAACCTAGGTACTGCAGCAATGGAACCTCAGAGAGCCAAGGAATTGGAGGGGTAAAGAATATATGCAGGGAAGGAATGGGCTGAAGGGTGTGGATTATTTAAAAGTTCTTATAAGGATCATGTAGAACCCAGATGTTCACCCTCTACAGCCACCATAAGTAGTCAAGTGCTTTCTTCTACTTCAACATACAGGAGATGAAAGGTATCTTCTTTCAAGATATTGAACTAGAGAACCTCTGGACTTGGTTACATCAAGCTCTGGGGAATGAGTATGAAAACAAATGTATGAGCCCTGGCCAGCGTGGCTCACTTGGTTGGAGCATCCTCCAATACACCAAAAGGTTACAGGTTCAATTCCCAGTCAGGGCACATACCCAAGTTGCAGGTTTGATCTGCATTTGGGGTGCATGTAGGAGACAACTGATTGATGTTTCACTTTCACATCGATGTTTCTCTCTCTATCCTTCTCCTTCCTTTCTCTTTCTCTCTCAGATCAATAAGAGCATGTCCTTGGGTGAGGATTAAAAAAATAACAAATAAATAAAAAATAAAAATCCTTGTATAACTTTAAAAAAAGAAAGAAAACAAATGCATGGGATGAAAACATGAAAGTCTATATTCTAAACAGGACATTCTACTCTTTTCCCTACCCAGCTTTAGAAAGCTAGCAACAAGATTGTTTTATCTCCAGGCAAGAAATAAGAGGATCTTTCTTTGAAAACCTGAACTAATACAGAGAAAATATAATTTTCTCTACTTTAATTTTTTAAAAAGCCATGGTATAATAGATTCATAACACATCCAGAATATAACCACCTCTCTCCACCTTCACTTACTACCATTCTGGTGCTAGCCACCATCTTTCTGTATTTAGACTATTGTAGCATTTTCCTGTCTCTAGACCTAACTGTCAATTTAATCAGAAGAATCCTATCTAATAAGGAGGGAATATGCTAATTGACTGCCCCACCCTCAAAGATGGCAACATCTACAGCCAATAAGGAAGGAATATGCTAATTGACTGTCACACCCTCAAAGATGGCAGTGCCCACAGCCAC